CTGATGTTTCCAGTGGTTGACTACCTGTGGAAATGCCTAATTATGCATTGAAAAATTGAAAGTTTTCGTAATTCTATATCCTACTCTCATATTATCAACGATCAACTATACTCCTAAATCCCATTTTTCACGAGCTTTCATTTGGTATAAAACATATCATATCTTCTATTTGAAATTATAGCGGTACCCCCCTTGAATAATATTATTTCCCACTCTGTATATTGACTCATAGTATTTTGAAATTATGTTCATTTCTCGATATTTAATTGCTTAGTTTTATCAAAAATCGACATAAAAGGAGTCTTTAGCTATGATTTAAAATATATTACCCTATTGTTGATAATATTTGATGTATTATGAATGTGTTCAACATGAACAACTAATGTATGTAATTGACTAAGATGACCATTGAGTAACCAAAGACAATCATTAAACGTCTTCACCTTAAGATTTAAATGAACAATACTTGACGAATAGCATTCAGACGGTAAACCAGCAAGTTCTAGTGTATATATACAATCGGTTATTAAATCAAACTGGAAGTGAGTTAGATTTGTAAACTTCATAGAAATTTGGGCAAACATAGATGTGCATAGACGCCATCTATGTCGATATCCACTAGTACCGTTAATCATTATAACAAGATTTGAAATCTGATGTTGAAATATGGAAACAAATGATGAATTGGCTAAACATACAAATTGATATATTTAATTATATTTAGTTGTAAATGATGAGATCAAATAACGTACTACAGAAAATACTATTAGCCATTTCAACTTTGAGATTAATAAGAGTAAGTTTATGAAGTTTAGGATAATTTTCAATAGAAAGAATATTAGTCATTGACCAAGGATCAAGAGTAAGACATTGGATATTGTGTTGAATTTGAGGTAATATATAAAAACAGAATCGATTGAACATGGATTTAATTTTTGAGTAATCATCTCCATATGATGATATCGTTGTAAGATCAAGAGATTGTGTGAAGTCAATACTTCGAGCCAATCTATCAAATTTTTGATTGACTCCTATCAGTGAATATAATACATCAACATTATCGAGTTTGTTCAAAATGGTAAGCAACATCTCGTCACATAGGTCAAGAATGTTAACAGTTGAATTCATATTTGATTGCATATGATAAAACGGTGTGCTAGAAAAATATTGAAAGGAAAATATTGAAGTGGGAGAATATTAAAAGAGGAAAATATCGAACAAAAGGATGTCTCCAGTAAATGGCGAATCTAATCACATATAGTTCATTGTTGCTTTTCTTATAATTCTACTAGTGTAGAGTTTTAACTAGCAGTAATCACGATGACTAATACCTGATAAAAATTAAATAAAAGAGTTGAGCGAAGAACTATTATATAACTAAAATTCTATTGTCATGGCTGAAGCTATTGCATCTTCAACTGATGTACTCAAGCAAAATCTCCAGCTATTTCATTTATAAATTCAAATAAAGGAAAGTCTTCACTTAATTTACTACAGATTTAAGGGCTAGACCAAAACAAGCTAAAACAATTCCTATTGAACATCGTACAGATAATCTTGGTGAACGATATTATTCCACACTACAAATACTATGGAATACTTAGATGGTTGATCACTTACAGTTGCTAAGCGAAAAATATGATATATATTCGATTGTTTTTTCGTTATCTATATTTGATCACTATTAGAATGTTAACATCAATGTATGTAATAAAACATGTTCATTCTATTCATAGCTCTTAAATATTTGCTGACTATTTTTCATGTCTATATTATTGTTTCGACATTTTTCCTTTCGACATTTTTACGGCCAACCATTATTTTCTACTTTGTCCAATGCCGTCAGCAATGGCAATGTTACATAGTCAATGATAAATATTGTGACCTATCATGACAGTCAAATTTGCTCGTAGATGAATTTATCGGTCATTAAATTACCAATCAGAAGTAAGGCAATTTCATCATATTACTATGTTTTAAAGTATACAATATGAATCAACATTGCTCACTTCATCAGTGTTTCATTTTTAATCAATAATAAATCATTTTTTTTGTGTATGCAGGATTGCATATTCGATGTTAGCTTGTTGAAATAAAGGTATTATAAAAGTCTACTAATTTTCGTGTATTTTAACCAAGTATTATATTAAATATAAGCTATGAAAACTGATATTTAGTTGAAAATGAAAGTCGTTTTTTGGCATTTTTCTTTATGCTCTTATATGAGAATGAAATAAGTTAGTTGATTCAAAAATAAACTATACTATTAATAGAACAATTAATTTTCATCGATTTCTAATTTTTAGAATAAATTTAACAAAAGAAATTTTATTCGTTCGAAAAAATTGAGCTTTTTTGGCATGTTTTGCATCATAACGTCCAAAGACATTAATATTTGTGTTCGAAATTTGCTAAAAGAATATCTAAAACGCTTATTAACAGGATGAAATTTTAAATGAATAAGGATTATTTCACTTTAGCATCTATTTTTTGTCAAATCATATTTATGAATAATTCGTAGCATTGTGAGATCTTTTTGACAGTCAAAAAGATGTGTAAGTAGTTCAATATGTTATATTCTTTGAAAAAATTTCTCAAAATATCTTAGAATAAAAAATGAAGCAATTCGCAAATAGAATTCAATGGAAAAATATAGATAGTAAAATATAGTTCATGTTTTTCTTTTAAGCAATCATGTTATGGTTGTAATCTTCTACCAGTCCATTTATAGAGTATCATTCAAAATTAGTAGAAATCATATAGAAATAAATGCGGAAACTTCAGATTTTATCCGAAAGTTATGTGCACTACAAAAAGTGTATGAGACAGATGAGTCATCCTAGAATGTCTGGGAGTCAAAATCATAATGGGAAATCTTTTCTATAAGCACGATTTCTACTGGCTGTGCTCATCTGATAGGATATAAAGGCGAATACAGCTCATATTTGAACTCTTCGCCTTGAGTTACCCTAAGCAAAAACATTTTCCCCCTAACTTGATTTTTATTGGTTATTGCTCAGGCAAATGGAGTACAGATTCGAGTTCTCCGTCCCAGAAAACCTTGAAGTAACATATCTGTGATCGGAAGATAGAGCTCTAGTTGTGGATTAATTAGAGCGTGGGCAAAAACAGAACCAATTTCCGTTTAATTATCTTTGCAATAGGTGAGTTAGCCTTCTTGTTTTCTAATGTTTTATATGTCATTTTGTAGCACGTGAAATTCTCTATCGAATGGTTTCGAATAATTGGCCTTTTATTTGACTATGATAGGAAAAGTTTTTTACGAAAACGGAGATAACTAGATCTTCGCATAGGCAAGCATAAGGAATAATGACGATTTTTCCAAATAATTCAACAATGGCTTGGCCAATCATTTTCATCTTCATCTCTCGACTGGCATATTGTTGAGACAAAACTGTCTAGAAAATTTCATCGTGATCGGACTCTCCTTTCGAAAGTTATCGTGTAAACGGCCGGATGGACGGACACACTGATCGATTCTAGAGTCTATGAACTTTTTGAGTACACAAAAATATATTGATAGACCAGTTTGTTTGTTACTGAAGTGGTCTCGTGTTTCTTTCATATATTATTCTCAATCGTCTTCTAAGCATATTCTATCAGATCGATTGAGAAACTAGACATAAAAGAAACAAGATACCATCCTCAAAAATAAATAAGCCAAATCGCTACTCATTTGTTTATGGAGACTTTCATTAGAATTATCAATTAAAATAACATTATTACCAATAATCTAGAATCAATGAAATAACATTTTTTATTTGTTTGATATTTTTTTTAATAACAAACAAGGAAGGGTGTGGGTGTGTTCAATTGAAAAGGCCATATACACCCACACCCACAAGATCTTATGATCTTCAGAATATTCTGAAAGTGTTTTAATCAAAACGGAAGAAACATGTACATGTCACAAAAATGGAGTTTTCTTCAGCATTCAACATTTCAAAAATAAACCATTAATCCTGATTGAGACTTTCAAGATGTTCTAAAGATCATAAGATCTATACATGAGTAATGCTTCAAATGAAGAAGAAAAATTTATGGGGAAGAATCTTTTTAGGTTTTATCTAGTCTCAATGAGTCCTAATTATAGGCAAAATATGACTATAAAACAGACGTTTCGTTTTTTCTTTCATGACATATTGCATCACTATAAATTTTCTAGTCTTTTAATAATCTTTGTAATGCTTATTCTAAGAGTATATATGAGATTCTCTATAGGATTAATAAAAGAAAACAATTCTCAAATGAACAAAAAAATAACAATTATATTGAAAAAATGGATGAGTGTTACATGTTTGAATAAATGAATATTCACTCGATTTTTCCATTGACTGTTGAAGATAATTGTTCTGAATTTTGCTTTATGGCGTCAAAATTAAAAATAAAGTGTGGGTGAGGTTGTAGGTCTCTGCTTGCCTATCACCCACACCCTTCTTTGCCTTCAGTATTTATTTATTCGTTAAATTTGTGTTTATAAAGAATCAAATATAATATGAGATAATATCATTATAACCATACGCTAATGTTTATTGCCTTTTCTTTGCTCTGAATTATCTCTACAATTCATTTGTGGGCATGAGCCCCCACTAGCATGTTTTCCTACTGACTCCTTCCTTCTCGTCATGTTGTGTTACGTTTCGTGCATACAATATATTTCTTTCTTCCTTCGATTTTTTCATATTACAAACAGAACAACATCGTGCGTCTGCTTTTGTTTTTTTGTTGTTTTGGTTGAGTCGTTCGTATTTTGTTTCAGAAGTAATAAGTTATTTTATTAATTAAATACTTAGTGTGAGAAAAACGATGCTAAATGAGATAAAATCTTCATCAGTATTTCAAGGAGGACAACGTCAAACAAAACCAATGCGTCGTTTTCTTCGAAAATTTTCTAATGATTGGTCGATGGATTTTTCAGCAATGTTAGCGTACAATTTATTAATTACTCTTCTTCCAATTGCTGTTGCATTATTTGGAATTTTGGGTTTAGNATATTTAAGTTATATGCATGACGAACATGGTGTTGGAGATCAAAGAAGACCTTTGTGTGAACATAAAACCGATATACAACCAACAACAGCAACCGAAAGAGCAATGACAAGTCAATCATCACCTAGACATATATGGTTTAATAAATTATGCCCATCAAAAACAACTTCATCAACAGAACAAGACAGAGAAGGACAACATATGATTTAGAGTTTTCTTTTTGCTTTTATGTACAAAAATACTTTTTTATTCATATATTTATAAATGTTTATAAGAAGAGATAGAGAACAATCAATCGCATATTGTCGCATGAATTTATTAGTTGTCAAAAAATATGAAGAATTAGCATAATAGAATAATTTTTGTTTTGCTTGAAAACTCTTTAATTAAATTTATTTAGGTGTAAAGATTTGACAATCAATAGCTACTTTAGCTTTCAGCGACAATTTGACAGGGTGTGGAGGGTGAGTTTTTTCATTATCGATTACACATGAACACCCGCCAACATCCTCATGTTTTAATATCTTTCGTCTGATGCGGTCTTGCGTTGTCATGATGCAACTTGATTGCATGCAAACCGGATTTGGGTCTTTTTTGTCTAACGTTGTTAAACAAAGACTTTAAACAATTATCTTTCTAATAATCACCAGATATAGATTTGCCACTTTCAATCATATTAATTAATTCCGGTCCTGTAGTGCGAAAGAAGATTACAAACATGTTCTTTCGATCGTACTGGCTTCTTCGAATCACTGTTGGTGGAGCTGTACCTTCGGAACACCATGCCATGTTTGATTGTTTTGAATCAATGCTGCGATGGTACAGCCATGTTTCATCTCCTGTAATGATGTCACATAATCTCCATTGACCAGGATCTAATTTAGCAAGATTCTCTTGACAAATTTCCATCCGCTTGAGGGTGTGGGGTGTGGGTGTCAATCAGAAGAAACCAAGTACACCCACACCCACACCCACACCCATTTCTTTTTTATTTATTTCTAATATATTTTCAAGTTTTTTATTTGTTTTCTCGATCATAGAAAAATTATCCAAAAATAACTGATTACAGGTATATTTTAATATTGTATATTTAAAAAAATACTGAAGACTTATTTTTTTTATTTTAGACTTGTGTTGCATGATTTTTCCCAGACGATCCTATCAGTGTATGGTTCACTAATTCAAGAATTCATATTTTTATATGAACATTAGATATTAGAAAAAATATTTTCAATGAAATAATTTTTTTACACTCTACTTGAGTTAAAATATTATATTTA